TTTACGTTTAACGTTACGGTTGTTTACGTAGTTAGTTATATATTATTATATATATATATATATACACACACACACACACACACACACACACACACACACACACACACATATATATATATATATATATATATATATATATATATATATATATATATATATATATGTATGTATGTATGGAATGGGTGTATGTATGTATGTATATTTATATATATATATATAATTGTTGAGAGGGCGGGGGTGTGTATTAGGTGGGACATGATGAAATATTACAGGGAGAAGGCCCACACTCGACAATATCCATGTCTTAGAAACTCTGCGAATCTTTAAGTGGCGAGGTGCTTGTAGGAGGGGTGATCGTACGGTCCAAGCCTTATTTGCGGACTAGGCACCATGCATTAGGATTAAAACTATTTGCTAGTCTTACCGTATAGCATGGCTGCGGCTGGACTGCGAGCCACGGGTAATTTCAACTCGCCCACAAACCAGGGAATACTGACGTGGCATACATACTCACGGCTGGTGAGCAATAGATGTGCACTTCGTATACCCACAAGGCTTTGCACGGCAAGCCCACCGTGCACGCAATATTGGGCAATTGGGTACGTCTGTATTGAGTTGTTCGCTGCCTTCATCCTGGGTGCTAAACCTTGAATCATACACAGGCTTCTTTTAATTTACAATTCTTATGAATGTGCAGAGCTGGTGCGACTACTGCACCGCCGAAGTCGACGGTCAAACAGAGGTAGGCTTTCTTGTTTGTCGTTTACCGTGTAGTATGTGTTCTTTTTACATGTTTTGGGGGGTTTTTTATACTAAATTTGTTGGGGGGTTAGTTTATTTTAAATATTCTTTCAAGCTACTGTGGTATGAAAATGGTCGGATGCACCCGCCACACCATCTGAGGCTGTGCTATTTATAAACTCTGTCGAGGCTTCTGATGTTTTGGCTCTAAACTTGTAAGTATTAGTCGTGGTAAGGTTATACAGCGTCTCGCAATATCAAGTCAACGTTGGCTGTTCTTCCTGGCATTGAAATATACATATCCCACCTTCTTGTCGGGGCATCAGTCACAACATACCAAACCCCATTGTACTTTGGTTCTATCTGCGATTGAACACTGACAATGCAAGATGAAGTTTATACCGATCATACCTCTACCCCAATATCAGTGCTCGAGCACTTTCTTCCACCTGTCTAGTTCACGAGTTCTATTCAATAGCCGCCTTTGCTTTCCACAGCTCTCTCCCCGGTGTACTATGGTGGGGTCTGATGTCACGTCACAGATGGACATGTCCGGCACACTCACTGTGGCCTCTACAGAAAGTACAGCGGATGCTTTCCCCACGCCACTGGATGATACTGTATGTTACAGACCCTGTTCTATTGGTTTATAGTATTGCCTACTTGTGAACTGATATGTACGCCATTGTAGCGGGGTATACGCATGTGTTTGTATATGTGATCGTTGGTTCAATTGAATCTCTGCATTACTGGCGTGTACTCATATCTACGTCTTCAATTGCGCTCTTTGCTTCTAAGGCAGGTTCATATTACACAAACGGCAGTTCCACTATGGCTCTCATCATAGGAATTGTCGGGCTAATTTTGCTTTTGGGGGCGTTAATTGCGTTATTCCTATGTATCAGACGCAGAAGGAATTCAAACCGTTATCGACACGACCATGTATATCAGGAAAACAGGTGATTTTAGCTTATCTACGCTCAGTGTCCGCGTATGTGACTTATCGTGGACTTTGTTGTAGAATTTATCGTGCCGTGCCTTGTCCTAGACGATGGCTAAACTCAAGAGCTTCTGAATATTGTCACGGTTAGGATGTGGCGTGTATTCCATCGCCCCGTCCTTTCGGGGCCACCAACAGGTGCTCACGAGCGCAGTTTGGATATCTATTTTGAGAAGCTCGTCAGTGTCACGCGTGCATTTCCGATATGTTTATTATAGAAGCTCTTAAGAGTCATCTCGAAGTATCTGTAAGTGAAGTTACAATGTGGTCACCAATGACCACATTAAATCTTCGGTTAAGTGCACTTACAAATGCGAGTCTAATTTTGCACTGTGCCCACCAATAACCTCATAGTATGTTGAAGAAGTGATTGGTGATAGTATGAGATACCGGGCGCTGATGAATATACCACTCTCGCTGAATTTCAAGTTCTTGTAGTATCACCTAGAGCTAGTATGTGTGTAACCCACTACTTCTTCCTTCAAGAAATGCGCGTCTAATTTTGTCCATCAATAACTTTATAGTATGTCAAGGAAGTGATCGGCGATACCAAGCGATATCGGGCACTGTAGAAGTACACCACTCTCGCATAATTGAAGGCTAGTGTCACTTGCAGTATCGCCTGCAGACACTTTTGTGTGTAGCCCACTACTACTTCGTTTCTGTTGTAATTACATTTTCCATTACGATCTGCCCCTCTGGTGAACTTAATTGCCGAATCGGTGCCGCATTGCAGTCATCCGGAGATGAGTTCGACAAGCCACAAACCGGGGAGTGTAGATTCACAAACAAAGACCAGCGCGCGCATGACCGGCAGCAGTCGGCTGGTAGAGAACAGCGATGGCGGTTTAGCGGTCGCATCGGTGTGTTGCCGTATTTTCAACCCCTTTTGGTTTGTTACTGTGATCTGAGCTGTAGTTATGGGCGCTGCCCATCTCCACAATTCCCACGATTTCTGCCACTTAGTCCTATTTGTATGATGGACGGGTTCGTCACGCTCGTTCATGCGCGTAGCACTGGTGCAGAAGGTCATTACCGGCATTTTGAACCAGACACATAACCGTTCGTGGCGACTCCTTTGTCTCGCTCACTGCATTACAAGACTCCCCTCACGCTTATTCTTGCATATCCTCTGAATCCTTCCCCGGCATGTTGACTACAGGCAACCGAGCACGCGAACCCCTTATACGTCAGCGGAAACATGCCTTCCGACGACGCTTTCAGCGGCTACACCCCCCCTCCAGGGCCTGACGATTCATCAACTGCGAATGCGAACGAGCATATCTTGTCCCGAGCGGATTCGAATGCGCCCATGGTGTCATATCAGGAAACCCCCGCTCAGTTAGAGGCGCCCATTACGGAGACGGGGCAAGAGGGTCTGCACCACAGTAATCCTTTCAGGCTGGACTGAGAGGTCAAACATAAGAATAGCGCAATAGACAGGTGCCTTTGATAAGTATAGTATTACATTTGAGGTGTACATAGCGAACGCAGGCTTGTAGCAGGCTTCAGGTGATAGCTATAAATCCAATGGTTTAAAAGTTTAGGGTGCACTTGGTCGTCGTTTTGGACTACAACATATTTGCGATGTAAACTACGTAACACGTTGCATGGTGTATTCGATGGACTATCTGTAGATAGTTACTTCCGAGGTGAATAAAAAGCGTACATGTGCCTAATTTCCAACCGTCTTTAATGCGCCACCTGCGAGGGACTACATTTGTATTGCAAATTACATGGCGCGCTATATATGTGCATAATGCAGGCGTATATATTATTAAAAAAAGAACATGACATATATACGCATGCTTGCGAAGGACGATCAAAAGGTGAGCATATTTATTATACTTAATGATAAATTTGTGACCTACGCAGCTTCACACTCTGACATGTATCTAGTGTGCGCGCGCGCATGATTCAAGCTTGAATGTGTGAGGAGTGGGGAGAGGACACAGTGTGAAGTGTAACTCTACATTGCATTGCGCTGCCAGGGATGCCAATGCAGACATCGCCATCGCAGGCATGCGGCATTACAGCCGACGTCGTCCACCGTACCAGAAGCGTGTCACTCATGCATACTGGGATTTACCGCTACCAACCCCAAAAATATGAAAGTCAACAGTCACTACACCTAAAAATAAGAGGGTATACTGTTACCATATCCGAGTTCTTCACCAGCCTACACCCCGAAGCCCATGTACTAAAAATCATCGATTGCGCCTCTCGCGGACCATTGGCGATCAAATGCGCAACAAGCGAATGGGTAATTCAAGATCGATGCCGGCTGTCGGGAAATACCAGACAACTCCAGGTGGAGATAATGGAAGATTCGGGAAGCTTTCTCTTTCTACCTCGTCTTCGCCGAAGTCTAGGAGACAACCGTTTCTTGCCGATTACTCGTGATTGTTCTTACCAAATCCGATACTGCCGTTGCGATGGCCGTTAACCGGAATTCGATATATCATGGCTTCTCACCTTTGATAGGTTTGGAATTTCCAGTTGTTTTTCCTCAGTTTTAAGAACTTCGCGCACTGGTCATGTTCATCACTATACTTGTTCAAGTTGAAGTAGGTTTCTTCATACATGCTCAGTATGAATTCGATCTCGTCGGCCTTTTTAAACGGATTATTTACAGCTACATCTTTACCCATTCCATTGGCAGACTTTTCCCACTTAATCTTAGGGTGAGGAAAATGAAACAGATACGGATTACAGTAGCGTTGCATAAGTGTATTATACCTGTGTACGTTTTGTGTCCCGTATCGCAGTTGTTTCTGAATCGCATAATCTTCTAAGCCCCAATTGTACTTGTTGGCACCCGCAATATTGTAGTGTGTAACCCGTTTGAGTGTGCTGGCATATATACTCCACATTCCCATACCGTACCCTCTCCAGAAGCCATCAGTGCCTGCCATAGTGCTGCGGTTGTAGCTGTCCAAACTCCAACACACAGGCACAGTGCCAGATTGCAGCTTAGTATTCTTAATAACATCATCTATGAATCCAGGCCACACCACCATGTCTGTATCAATGATGTAGTAGATGCTTTTATCTTCTGGCGTGGTGAGTATGTTATTTGGGGTAAGCAGGCTTTTGATACCGCCTCCTCGCGAGAAGGGGCCTGATACGCTTCTTATATCGTAGCTTCCGCTCCAGTGCTCCAAAGCTTCTGCTGATCTCATACTATCGTCAACCACATCGTCGTAATCAGCCACACCCAAACACAAACAGTCAACGGTGGTGATCTGCGCACTCTCTGCGTCAATCTGCAAGGTGTCGGCTAGACGTCGTAGACTTTCGCCTCGATTTCTAAACGGAATGAGAAAGTAGACATATGGTCCTTGCTGACATTTGTCAAAATCGCAACCATTTGTCTTATTGGTCACTATTAAACTCGCATTATCGGATATTAATTCCCTATATCTGTTTGCCCATTGTTCACCCTGGGTCAATTCACCTGAGGTCAGAAACCCAAAGTCCATACTATACGCCCAAGACTTGAGACTGTCGATATCAACACTCTGCTCTATTTCAATGCGCTGTGAGCTCCCTAATACAAAAATTATCATAAGTGTACTCACTAGGCAGCATGCAAGCACTGCGGATGACCTAAGCATGAGGAATGTGTAGGTTGCCTTTACTATACCCCCAGGGGATTGTCTGAGCGCCACCATATCGATCATGCACAATCGTCTGTGATGGAATGTGAAACACTGTGATTTAGTTGTTTTTATGCTGGACAGAGACTTCAGCAAAACGCTGTGGTATATATATACGATAAACACGCATTCGCTTAACCGTGCGCTGTGGTCAAGTACGTGTATGTTGCTATACAACTAATAAGCTCACTTCACACTTAATCTCCTCCAGTGACAGGTGAATATGTAGCACCGTGTATTGGAAGATATAGGAATACACAAGTCGATGGTGACGAGGATATGTTAAATGAGTGTGTGTGTATCATTTTACATACTTCGCCATATAAAGTGCATCTTGAGGCGTGGAGCCGTGGATCCGTGATGCAACGCTGGCGCCTTCATCTATGGTTGCGCTACTCATTTTTTTCTTGTTTCAATGAAGTTTATATTCAGTGAGAGACTGAGAGGTACATAAAACCTAAAAATCTTAATATTGTAATGTGATTGGTCTATTTCATGTTAAAATAGTTTTGTGCAGAGTCAATAATGGATTTAGTAATTTACAGCATGTGCTTCGCGTTTTCTGCCAGCCCAATAGATTTTGTCAGAGTTGAACTGCATTCTGCTGTAGTGTTATTTACTCGTTAAAAAAAAAACGTTCAAACCCAACGATTGAAAGTTCGGACGTGTCCCGCCGTTTGTCACGTTTTATATGTGGCGACGGTGGGGCAACCTCAATACGTTTTGTGATTGGTATAAACGTATAAAACTGATAAAATAAACGTTTCCGTTTAGCGTGAATATCGTATTGGCCCAGTGATTGTCACTATAGGTGCATTCTCTGAGCCGAGACCTAAAAACACTGAGCCATTAGGTTCAAAACTTCAATGTCTTCGTGAATTTTCCCTATTTTAAAAAAATAGACGATGTTTCCTGCCTTTGACCAGTATAAACGTTTTTTTAGTTTATTCTGAACTGAATAAATAAGCGTTAACGTTACTTTTTAACGCACACACTCGCAGTCTCGCACTCAGCCTCCTCAGTGATTCAGTCCTCACATCGCACTCACAGTCTCACACTCGCACTCACAGTCTGATACTCGCACTCGCACTTTTACCCACACACACACTCACACTCATTCACACGCGCACTCATACCCACACCCATACTTACACTCACACTCACACTCACTCTCACTCACTCACGATCACGATCACTCACGATCACTCACGATCACGATCACTCACGATCACTCACGATCACGATCACGATCACTCACTCACTCACGATCACGATCACTCACTCACTCACGATCACGATCACTCACTCACTCACGATCACGATCACTCACGATCACTCACGATCACTCACGATCACTCACACTCACACTCACTCACTCACGTGTGTACGTGTACGTGTGTATTCACACCGCAGCTCCCCACACACATCCACCGATTCCACCAGCACAGGCGGTACACGTCCTAAAACACCAGTATATTTTTTTGGGGTTGTACAACCCACTTTGACATATACAGGAACCACAAATCCACAAAATTTACAACAGCAGCGCCTCAGCACTTCTGACTTCAGAGTCGTCTCTCAGTTATACACAGTTCCTTTTTTTTGGTTAAAAAAACATAAAAAAACAATTAAAATTGTATAAAGACAAAAGACAAACAGTCACAGCATATGGGGTTTTTTAAATTTACAAAATGGGGGTTGTAAATAAACTTTGTTGAGTTCAATTTAGAAGTCTATGTAAACTTACAAATATTTTATATATATATAGATTACATCTTTAGACTGTCTTGTTGTAAATAGCATATTTACACATGTTTATAAATAAATAGGTCGTAGAGACGTATTTGGAGTAAGAACCCCCATTTTTGTTTCAGAAAATGTTACTTTTTAATAAAAATATACAACAAGAAAGATTCTTGAAACTTGAAACTTCATGAAATGTATTTATTTACACTGTTTTGTTGAAACAAATGGACTCTTGGGTCTGGGACTGGCCACACTGGTGTGGCTTTCATGTCTTTTTTTCATAGCCGAGTTTCCGACGTTAACGATCCACTTTCATGTTTGTGACGTAACCGAATTCTTATAAAAACGAATTTACGTTTGTAACGTAAACTATGTTCAAAAACGATTGATTTACGTTTGTAACGTAACCAGATCCGGGGGTCAGCCTGACCCCGCTGCCCCGCTCTACGTTTTATTATTTAGGCCGTTCTTGGCACTCACTTGTGACAGACCCCCACTAAGAATTGTGCGTTTGTTTTACAGACATTTTTGTTTTTCTAGAAGACTATGCATTTTTTGATATACCGAATACAGACAGTATGTACTATGTAGTAAATATGTAAATATTTATGAAAATAATAGGTCACCAGTTCATCACTCACCAGGTGAGTGGCCCGAGTGGGTGAGCGTGACCACTACCCACTGAGTCACTGACCAGAGAGTATCTAGTAACTACATACTCTCTAAATATCTGCCCTCTGCTGTGCCTGGTGGGACTCTCTCAGTCTGGACATCTGGAGTCTCCGAGTCTGGCGGGGTGGGTCTGGGGCTCTAGGCCCTACGGCCTGCTGGGAATTGGGAGTAGACTCAGTAGAGCCGAACTTAAAAATGAAGACAAGATGTATTTTTTGACACGGTAAAAAATATATACTCGAATATTTAAAATAAATATATATGTATGTGTGTATTTAATTTTATAGTTATATTTATGTAAATTTCACTGATACGAGTGATACATGTATTTTTAGTGTTCAGTTGTTCACTGTTCACTCTGTATTGAATGATCTAATTAGAAACGCTCATTAGTTTTATTTCCACGGTCTGAATATGTATTACCGTACGGCGTACGACGTAAATACGTACAGCGCAACAAGAAGTGTTTCATCAATTGTGTGTAGGCGGCAACAGTCAACACTGATGAGTCAACACTCAACAGCCCATGGCTATCTAGACATAAATATCCTTTTTTTTCTATATAAATTCTCTCTCGCTCTTATTGTTTTTTTCTAACCAAAAAGGATTTTATTTTAATAATACTTAGGCTGCTATTTTTTTTACAAAGACCTACAAAACCTAGTTTTTCATAAAACAAAATAAAATAAAATCAAATAATACAACAAACAACAAGAAGAGGAAAACTCAAAACTCAAAAACTAGTTTAGTTTTATACAAAAAAAGGTTTTTATCGCTTTTGTTGCATTTTTATTTAACAAATAAGAAACAAGTAAATGATATTATGGACTGTGTTTCTCTCTCAAAGGCTAAAAGATGTCTAGTAAAAACCTTTCTAAACCGGCTTTTTGAACTATGTTTCGAGAAGGCTAAAAAATATGTAATAAAAACCTTTCTATGTAGACTGACATTTAGTTCCTTTAAAATAAAAGACCGGTTTTGTTTATGTACTCTATTTTTATATATGAAATGTTCAATTTTAAGAGGCTATGATAAAAACCATAAAAACCAAATACATTTATTTGATTTAGGATTTTATGATACCCTAAAAATCGAATATCCCCCTCTCCAGTCTCCATAGCCTTCTAAATTGAACACCCTCTCACAGACTCAGACTCTCTGAGTCTCTGTGTCTCTACATACAATTATTATTAGATTGCAGAGAGAGAGAAAGGAAAAATAAATCCCTCCAGACGGTCCAGAACGGAGGGGACGAATGGCCGTCTAACGGCTTATTCTACTACTAGTAACTAGAGTCAGAGAGCTAGAGAGAGTAAAGATGTTGCGCCTAGCGGTCAAAGGCAATTCGGGCGAACAGGCAATTCTTCCTGACACAAATGCTGTTTGACCCGACTTGTCCAGAAGGCTGTGCAAATTGCCACTGTACCGGTGTCACTATAGCATTCTGTTTCAAATAATCTATGTCTACTATTTTATTCAAAATGCTACAGTTTACACGTACAAATAAATGCCCATAAATATGTGCACATACTTCGTTGCACGTATTGAACACAAAGCGACTGTTTTACATGATAAATGTGTATATTTCCTATTCGAAACAGAACCTTGCAGCAGTGTTGATACCTACTTGATCTCTAACGCCCGCAGCCAGTACATTTTAACTTGTCAGGTGCACGAGGCTATCCCTGCCTACGCCCATCAGCATGATAGTATTTCAACTAGTCTGCCGTGTATAACTGAGTATATCTTTGCTCAATTGATTAGATTCCTTGACGAGTTGCCTGACTGGGGCGGCTCTGTCTATACTGTTCTTTTTACGCTGCTGCCTATGTGCTTCCGCTTCTGCGGGAAAAACTTGTTCGTATCGCCGGATAGCTGTATCCGATGCCACCGTAAAAATTTCGACGTCCAGCGTGAGTTGTTTCAGTTTGCTATCCAGTGTCTGACCGCTCGATAAGTGAGGGAAAGGATAGATCTTAGAAAGCTCAAATCGATCCTCTTTGAGCTGCAGAGTGATAAGCGAGTTATTGCAGTGAATTTGGCTACGCAATCGCGCATGTCAACGCGCGAACAGATCGGACCACCGCTAGTAAAATTTCAAGTTTTGAAACGTATATTTAACGCAAGACGTGAACAGAATGACGGTCAAAGTCAAAATCGCTCCTCGGTTTCATTTTGTAGCGTCACGCACACGATCCTGTGTAAAAATCCAGACATCAGATGAACGAACATTCAGATAGCAGACACATTTGAGTATAACACGGACCTGTGATTGCGCAGTACTTGTCCGCAATAATACATAATCTTGAGCTTATTGTGAAAACCTAGTCTATTTCGGAAGCAATGACGATTGAAGACATACCCTATCATGCGCAGTATGCGCTGGCCCTATGCGAACAGCCTCCATCGCTACTTTCAGGTTGTCTAAATGCTTATTACCATGGTCGAGATGAAGAGCCGCAGTATGCGCTGTCTGTAAACAAGACGAGAATTCGCTTCAGTTGTCATAATCCTGCATAAACTGAATACAGTTCTCAATGAGCAGATGGATGAGAGTGTTTTCATATGAATACAAGGCTATGCAACCGTGGTGTCTAGATTTACAGACTTACTTGAGCGGCCGACAATCGTAGATCGATGATAGGCAAGCACCGTGCCACCTCGTGCATGAACTGTTTCTTTTCCCCCGGATCCACCTACAACCAAGATGACAAAAGCATATATAAACTATATGTAAGGCTTCTTATATTTTAGTACGATGCCCTCTCTTCATTCAGATTGTCGTATTGAGGTACCCGCTCGGGTACTGGAGTGTTTGAAAATACTTACAGCTTTATGTTAAACTAAGGTCTACCGTGCGTATACTGTGGAAAATATTATTCAAGGAAAGAGACATGGGTGTGCAATTCACGTAGTGAAATCCTAAGCTTTCACAATATTATGACTAGAGGTATTAGGACACCTACATTGCAGACATCATATATGCTTCGGCCGTTGCGCTGCTAGAAGTACTTGAGACATGAGTGCATAGTATAGACATACACTTGAAAACGTCATTAAAGTAGTAAGATCCGCATACCAAGCGATTTATATACTTAAACAACACACATGCGTCAGCCTTTTAGTATTGTGGACCATCGTCGCTCATCAACAAGTGCAATGTAAATCTCGGACATACAGCAGTATTGGCCCGCAATTTGGCCAAATCATGTTTCAGTCCATCCCAACGCCTTTGGACTGTACGATGATTGGTGTGTAAAACATTCACTTCAGGTGTGTTCTCTGCATCTACGCCGATGCTGTTGTCAACTGATGAGAAATGTGTGGGTAAAAAAAAAGGGAAAAGAAGGGATATAACTCAACGTATACAGCAAAATATGTGAAAATAAAAAAATACGCATATAAAAGTGTCCATTTGGGACAAACAAGAGAGAGAAGTGGCGTGCACACAAGATCCCATGATGATATGCATCTCCATTGCTGAAAGATACATACACTTTATGAAGGTGTCTTGCAAGTTAGATTGCGATTAGTACATTCACGACTACGTTATACATGACTCCCTTGGTTATATTTGCAATGTCTGTTATAAATATAACGCAGAATATTTAGTCCAGTGTTTCACCGAATGAGAGAGAATCATACTTTGATACTCTAAAATACTGATCTAGACAATACATATACAGATATACCGTTTAAACACTAACATTGCAAACATCTCGAAGACATAGAGTTGCTTCCAACCCAAGCAATCCACATACCATATGACAGAGTAAACAACATTATTAGCAGTCGAAACACTGAGGTTATAATACATCACACCTGAACAAAATATCCAAGCGTTTTACTTGTATATATTAAATACACACACTATTGTTCGCGCATACCTACCTAACTCCGATTCGACCGTGGTAGAGATCTCAAGGTCATTGACAATTTGTACAAACTTCTTTTTACAGATCCGGATGGACATGCTTACAGTTCTAGTATGTCATGCATACACGCGTATGACATTAGTTCAGTACTCTTATTATATGCAACAATGAAAACAAACATGCTACATATCGATCCGCTTGTATAATATATGTTTGATTTTTAGAAGGTGAATACATGTTTACTTGTGTGACTGTGTGTGACGTAATCCGATTAGATCAACAAAACCCTAGAAAGTGAACCCCAGAGTGAATGACTCATCGATATACAATATATTTATGTAACATAATCATATACACACACAAGAGTTTAAGAGTAGTCTTGTGTGAGCCTGGGCTCTTTAGTGTTCACTGATCTTGGGGGCTCTGTGATACATGCAGAATTCAGTAAAATTGATCACTATAATTATATACGCTGACTGTATTATTATTTTTTGCCATAACATAGCAACAAGGCACTGAAAAGCATAATGACTAACGAGTTAAAGAATGATCTACTGCTTCGTGCAGCTCGAGGCGAGCAGACCGAAAGGGCGCCTGTTTGGGTTATGCGTCAGGCCGGCAGATACCTCCCAGGTGTGTTTCACACTATATATGATGTCAGCCATTTTCCTGTAAATAAATATCTACAAAGTGCATGTTTGAGTATATGTACATATATCGAACTCTTTAAGCAGCTGTGTCAGCGTAATATTGTCTTCACTCTTGTCTTGTAACATTTTCTATCCTAGTCGACAAATACAATGGCGTATATACGAGTCTCGCTGTTCCGTGCTTAGCCAACTATACTTACTCTTTACTGCACAGAGTTCATGGAGGTACGAAAAAGCTACGATTTTTTTACCATGTGCCGGACACCAAAGGTTGCAGCGGAGGTGTGTATATTATTATTGTCTGACGAACAGCTAGTATAATTAAATGTCTTCGTGTATCTGTGTTCCTGGTAGCTTAAGCATCTACGGGTAGATCTCAATAGGATCATTAGTACTTCTATACACACATATATACATACACACACACACACACGCACACACACACATAAATACATACATACATACACACAAACACACACATATATATATATATATATATATATATATATATATATATATGTGTGTGTGTGTGTGTGTGTGTAGTCGTAGTATACGAA